AAAAGAAAAAAAATATTCGCGAATAAAAAAAAGTCTTCGTGATATTGTCTGAGAGGGTAAGAATAAAATAAATTTTGAATGCATGAAAATTATCGTACAATCTGCGTACGATAATAATATGATTTCGTACATCGTACGTAGACATGAAATTATCGTATGTGTACGATAATTATCGTACGGTTCCGAACACTGCAGCATTTCTTTTTTGAATTGACAAGAATAAATATCGAGACTGGGTTTTAGAAACCTTTTTCAATATTGTATACAGGCACAGGTCATCCCTCAAAGCATCCAATCTATACCTAGGCAAAGAAAAGAAGAAAAGGAAATGTGCAATGTTAAAAGTACTGGGGGGTAGCTTAACCTCGTTCCTTTGTTTGTCGAATGTCACCAGATTATTCTTCCGCGTTTTGTGTATAAGCTATGGTTGAAAGAAAAGTCTTTGAAACGTCTCACATTGAAATGCAAATTTTGTATTTATTTTTCGTTTTACAGTTCCGCATCCTAGACAAAGTTGCCAGAATCGACCTCCGAATATCGGAAAGAAGAAATAAGTACAATACTTCTTCGAAATGTGTAAATTGATACTTTTACGAATATATGTTTAGAACCGAAATTATTTGTGTTGCTTGTGTTACTTAATAAGTGTGTAAATAACTGATAGTACCCAAAATAATTTGTTTTAAAAAGTGAGCAATTTGGATTAGAATAATAAATTTATTATATCAAATAATAATACCTAAATAAAAGAAATATTATATCTATCACTTACCAATCTTTTGATGGCTGCTTTTTTAAAGTGGAGTACCATTTCGTCAACCTGTAATAAAATAAACCGTTTGAAATTACGTAGCATGTTTATGTTTTATGACTTTCAAGTTAAACTCAGTGAAATTGAAACATTGTATAGACATTATTTGTCTAAAAAAATCGCGAGGGCTTATTTTTTATAGCCAAAAACACACATATTATTAACCACAGGCTAAAAAAGATTGACTGCTTCTTCATTAACCCTAATATAGCTGGTGTCTAGGTGTTGTACAGCTCCAGAACTGCCCAAAATCGCAGTCAGTATTAGTACACCAAATGAATTCTCTTTGCTCTGTTGGTACTTGATTTCATAAAGACATGAATTTAGACAGGACAGTGAGCTGCACTCAGTTCAGCTAATTATAAGAAACATTTCAGGGCGGAGGTGTAATTAATATACAATAAGCCCGTCGTATGAATGAAATATTTACAGTTTGCATACGTATGAGATCTCCAACTTCAAAATCCAAACAACATAATTAATACTAGACGTATTTTGACTTTGTTTGGGATTTAATTAAGAAGGACTTTTTGAAATTTGGAGGCCCTCCAAGACCAGTTTTCTAAGGCGAGCCGCTCCTCTAATCCCATTTTAGTCCTCTCGTGTTGTAGTAACTATATTATCAAGAAACTCGATGACTATTGCTTTGCTTTTGGGTGTTCCAAAGTAGAATATTACACCACTGCCCCAGCATGGAGGCCACAGAATATACCAGGGCAGACGCACTCGGAATCGAACCCGTGTCCTCCCGAATGCTAAGCGATGGTCTAAACCTCTAAGCTAAGCCACTAAGGCAAGGACAGTTGAGTTATGTGGGATTATGTAAATACTCATTGTCATTTTTAAAAGGCTGAAAGTTATAGCGATTTGGCCCACTCTTTGACCAATGCGTTTAACTAAAAATTCTCATGAAAATCCGTTATTTTTCTAAAGTTATCGTAAGTCCTATTGGTTGTTTAGAAACGACAGGGGAAACTGAACTACTTTGAAGCTACTGAAGATATTTCGGAAAAAAAGGGACTCCATATCGATAAGTCCAGAGTAAGAACCGCAAATTCTCATTAATTTTTCATAAACTTTCAAATGCAATGATTCCTATGCCTCTTTTTTTACGTGCAAGTCGATAGACAGAACCCCACGAACCCAAGGTCTCAATCACCTGGATGTTCCTCGAAAAATCAGAAGGGTATGTGCCGACTGCTGGGCGCTTCTATGAAATGGCTTGATCGATGTGTGTTTACGTTCTTCTTCCCTAACTAATTGAGAGACTGCAAGGTTACCGTTGGCGCAAAACGAATCGCCATTTCCCTTGTGCCTAAAGTCATATCAAAATAAGTTGGTGTAGGTACCTACACGTTACACATACAAATACGAAACGTACAATAGTTTATTCATAACTAATTTTAGTCTGCGACAGTTGCTAATTGCGCTCAGTGCGTTGCCCTAGCGGGAACATGCAAAAACCACGTGTTTTTCCTTTCTTTGTAATGCGCCGTCTGTTACGTTTTTCCCCACCGTCGCCGATTTTCCCGAACCGTCGAGACGTCGAAATCCAATGGGAATGCTCGTTTCAAAATTGGCGGCCCGGCTTTGGGACACGCTTGCGCGACGTCCCATACCCTGCGCACATGGACGACGGATGGCGGCAGAAAATAAACGCTCAGTCGGTTACCAACAAGCAGTTGGTGTGTGTCTCATTGATCACACAACAACAATAATAACCTGCCCTGTAGATGTTTATATTTTTATACTACCAGTGACTTGTTGTAATAAAATAGTTCATTGTTTTTTCAACTTAAGGACTCGACCGCGAGGCCGCGTTGCCTTCTCGTCTGTGGGTTGAGCCGTTATTTTAAAAACTTAAAAAAAAAATCACCAACGACAATCCATAAATACATTAAACACTCTCTCTTTAGTATCTCTCGAACAAGCAAAAAGAAAAGTGTTTTTTTTCCATTGTTCGTACCGGTCAGAATGCCCGTGTCTTGTCTATTTACCGAAATGGATAGAACAAGCGCAGACGAAAGCTTAGAGACTCGCACTTTGCAGCTTGCTTACGAACTTTCGATGTTGCGGATGCCCGAGTCTTCAAACCCGGTTTCGGAACCTGAAAGTCCCTCAGATTTCGCTCCATTACTCAACCCTCTTCATACCATCGGTTTGGAAGAAAATAGATCGAAGAAATCCCAGAACATGACCGAATGTGTGCCGGTACCAAGTTCAGAGCACGTGGCTGAAATCGTTGGCAGACAAGGTAAGTCTCAACCCCTTACTAACCAGGACCACTCCCTTATTAACTAACGTTTTTGCTGGATTGCTGTTCCAGTCTTCGTTTTCATTGATTTATTTTTCACATTGACATCCGTAAACTCTACATTTAACGTAGCCATCGGGTAGTTCCCCTCGGTGCACAAAAACACGTTGCATATTCCTACGCAGTGATTTTTATCGCTTGTGCATCTTTAATAAAACATCACGTGTGGGTACAAGTTTGAAATTACAAACTCTTTAAAAAGAGTATTTAGTTACTAGTACTTGTATGTGTACATACAAACAAACAAGGATAATAAAGGATAATATTTAAACTCTGCAGTAGGTAGGTTCTCTTGGTGTTGATAATACAAATTCGATACGTTTCATCCGCAGGATGTGGGGGAGCATTGTTTACCAAAATAAAAGCATGTACTTCTCTTGGTTTTGATTTCCTTTTTTGTATTTAATTAGCAAAGATTTTCTTCCAATTATTTAATTTTAAATTTTGTGAAGATATAATTTTGTTAATCCTCTTGAGGTAGTGAGGTATCTGCGGATTTTATTCAAGTCGTTTTTTTTTTTGCTTCTCTTCTTGCTCTTTGTGGTCTCTTAAGCGTGATGAAATGTGTTATTTTATCTATTGAAATGAATAGTAATTATCATATGTCAATAAACTTCCAAGAGGTTAATGCTGGTGCAGCGTTAGGTCGATGCTGGATCCTTCTTGAACTTCTAGAAGTTACAGTATGATTCTGGACTTGAGCTATTTATTGTTGATTTTTTACTATTACATTTAGTTGTTATAAAATTATAGAATTTTCGTTATCTTTTCAAGGCCAAGTTACTATCGGTACACTGTTTTTTTTTAAATTATCATGATCATTGGTCTAAAAGTTTCTCATTCAGCATCCTAATTTTAATGTGATTGTAAAGGACTTTTTTAATGGAATTTTTTGGCAGCCATCAGAAAAGTAAACTTTTTAAAAACTTTCGACACGTATGTGCACATTTCCTGCCAAACACAACGTCCCATGAATTATTAAAACAAACGGAAGGTCTTGATCATTAACCGATTGATTTTTATTACTTTGACATCAAAATTTTTTTAGAGCACTAAAAATTCTACTTTTATACAATTTTGATTTTGCACAAATTTAAAAATAAAATTTATTTTTATGCGAGTTTTTTGAACACGATGTTGCTTGATTTGTTCCTTTTTTGTTTGACCGGAATTTTCCAAATTACAACTTCAATACGTACCTAAAATCTACTTATAACGTTGGTGTTACAAGGGTATCTGGTTGTACCTAATAAAATTTTGTGGAAATTGCAAGTGCTTCAATTTCCACCAAGTTTGTTAATGTTTACCTATTTGTTTTTTGTACAATTTCTTCGGACTTTATCTGTCCTGTACACGCATCAGAATAAGGTTTTTATTTTGGTAAAAGTTTTAGTTCCAAATATGTACCTATCTAGAAATATCTTCAGGTACCTGAACTAAATTCATTGTTGTAAAATCGATTTTATGGTTTTGTGTACCGTTATTTTCGAATTTTATTCCAAACAATTCGTATAGTGCCGATGGCCTTTCTATATCCATGGGTAGGTACCATCGCATTTCCTCTGCAGCTGCCTCTTCTTGCAACATCGATGTCTTTTCCTTTAACTTCTTCGAGTACCTGAGCTTACGGCCAGATTCTACCTGGCCCAAGAGATTTTGAGAAGAATAAGCACAAGAATAAGACCAAAAAGATGGTTTCGGTTTGCCAGCGTTATTATTTGCTGCCTCTGCAGATGTTAAAAACCAGACCTTTTACCGAAGACGGCAGATGCAGCTAACAAAAGGGAATATTAAGTTAACTAATAGCTTTGTGGGCATTTTTCGAAGAACGTGGACTCCAAACAGAAAGAACCCTCAACATGTTCCGTTATTACAAATACTGAATTATGAAATCTTACTGCACTTACAATAGGAAATGTGTTTCTGAATTGATCTGAATTGAAGCAGCCTATATATTTATATAAGAAGAAATTTAATTTTCCAAAAAAATATGTTTATTTTAAAAAGGGTACATTTATGATTATTTTTTTAAATAAATTTCAAGAATAATTGAATTACTCCTATTTTGCTTAAAATGATGCAGACGTTGAACAACAAGGGAATATTTATTTTTAGTATTAAAAAAAACAATACTTACCTAAAGTGTATGATGATGCTGATGATTCTTCGAGAGGTAAATTGGTATGAGTCTTGTGAAGTGGTTCATTCGGGGAATCCTAAAAAAGAAACAGCAAATCTTAGTCAGTCACTATCGTTTGAAATCGATACAGTTGCGTTGAACATATAAAGTACTTTGTCTGCATGAACCGCCACTAATAAACTTTTCATTTCCTGACATTTTCCCAGAATTTTCATAATGTTTTTTGTAGCGATATTGATAAAATGCAGGTGGAGTTTCTTTCATACAGATAACAGAATGCAACTTTATTTCGTTTCTTGTTGCTGGCAATTGCTTCTTCTCTTTGCATCCTTTCAGGTGTTTTCCGTAATTTACATAGTGTTTCCGGTTAGAAAACAAATAGTTGTTACCTAAATAAAGATCAACATTTTCCAACGAAACCATTCTAAATGATAATCGAAACCCATTCACATTGAAATACCTACGTCCATCTTTAATATATGCTAACAGTTTTNTATATATACATTTAATATTTAAGGAATCAAAAAATAACTTTTTAAATGTTGCAAGTAGGACTTAACAGTCTACAAAGACATTATTATGTCGAAACAACACTGTAGAGTATTATAAGTCTTACTTGAAACATTTGAAAAGTTCTTTTCTTAATTCCTTAATTATTACAACAATTTTTCATACAAATTAGACCAACAACCAACTTCGCCTAGGCGTTTCTGAAAGAAATGTTGAGTTCAAAAGCAACTAACCATGGAAGGCGATGTTAGAACCATGAAATTTCAATTTTTTTTTTATTAAACTGATGGAATAGTTTGAAAAAATGCCCTTTCTAAATATAAAGTTGCCACAGCTAGTTCAAGTTACCCCTATTTGAAATTAAAGAAGATTTTAATTCTTTTCTGTATAATCATATAGTTAAATCGAAAAGCATTTCGATTAGGCAAACTAAAAATTATTAGACATTTCGATAATTAAAAAAGCGTTTTTGTTTTGTTTTAATACATTTTTTGACAAAATGCATCTACAATTATTAATAATTTGTTAAACCTAACTCTAACTCCACTTTTTTATCTGTTTTTAATGTTTTATTTACATTGTGAATTGTGTGTTATTACCTCAAATAATTACGTTTAAATTGTTTAAATAGTTTGTATAAATAAATAAATAAATTAATGGTTCTGTTATCGTTTTTAGTTAGTAATTAGATAGTACGTAAGTGTGGTACATATCAATTACGGCATTTATATTTTGTTTCACAAAATATCTAGCTCTGTTTGATAACAATATCAGCGAAAAGATTTAGTCACAGATTAATTTCGTTACATAATTAGAGATTATTTTTTAATTAGGTACAAAGTCAATCAACAGATGCTGATTTTTGAAAGTATACCGTACGATACCAAAAAAATGGTGAACTAGTTCTAAATATTCTTCGACTAACATTTCATTCTAACGAAAACAAATTTCGCATACATAAACTAGATCGACAAAGTGATATTTCTAAAATGCTCTATAATTTGTCGCTCCAGTTGATTATTGAAAAATAGACGAAATTTTACGTTCATATCAAGCTGGAACTACACATAGGGATCTTGACATAGAAATGGTGTATAGAATACTGTAAGGACTATAATTTGTCGTTAATTTGTCGCTTACAAATGGTACTTTTATCCATTTTGTCGCTAGTCTATCTCATAACTGTTCAGCGAAAAACGACTGAATATATGGAGTAGATATTTCGAACTAGAAATAACGTAGAAAAATATTGTAAAGCCTATAATTTTGTCGCTAAGTTGTAGCTTAAAGATGGCATATTTATCCATTTTGTCGTTAGTCTTTTTCATAACTATTCAGCGAAAAACGACTATCAACACATGGAGTAGCCATCTCGGAATAGAAATGGCGTAGAAAAATATTTCAAGGGCTATAATTTTGTCGCTGACTTGTCACTTAAAGATGGAACTTTTATCCATTTTGTCCTCTAACTGTTCAATGAAAAACGACTGTCGACACATGGAGTATCTCTAAATAGAAATGGCGTAAAAGAAGTATTACATTGACTATAATTTGTCGCTGAAATTTGGTAAATTTACCCATTTTTTCACAAGTGCAGCTTCGAATTATCCAGTGAAAAACAACTGGAAAGCCGAGATACAGTATGTGCAGTATCAGTTTGATATCATGCTAGCATTTCATTTGTTTTCCACTAATCGGTTGGACCGACAAATTTTTGGATTCGGTAACAAGTTAGCGACAAATTATAACACTTGTAAAGAAGACGCTGGTGGCTACTCCCTGGTACAGAATAANTAAATCAATGTTTCGAATCTGAAGGTTTGTCGCAAATTAATGTTTGTTTTGTCTGTGAAATCTGAAATATAATAGCACTTTTCTTATGCAATGGGCAATATTCGTATTTAGTCATGTCTTTAGTTACGTCCACTTCCACTTCTTGTTAGCACCAGTGTATTAACATGAATTTGTAGGTAAAATATGCGGTTCATATTGACTCATCACCATCAGTGGTCATAGATGGGATCGCCGGCTTCTATGGCAAGTACGTTGCCTTTGAAGCCATAAGTTCCGGGTTCAAGTAAATAATACTTTCCGGCCATTCTCCTTGAATTGGCGATGGCAAATTCACACTAAAACTAGTCAGCATCAAAAGCCCATTTTATTTGTTTTCTTGATGTTTCACGTTGATGGATTAAATTACTTTTTCTCCATCAAATAAATGCTAGATACAGATATCGGCTGCTTTCTCGATTTATTCTTTTTTTTTATTTTGAAACGTTTTTGTGTCTAT